GCATTGAAGTCTCCGGTGACTACTACGATCTCCGTTGATCGAACACTTTGGAATAATTGAGAAAGATCCTTGTAGAATTCATCCATGATTTCCGGTGTACTGCAATCGGTCGGTGCATACACCGATACGACGAATAGGCATCGACTCTTCGTTCTATAACTGTTGATCCGTGCTGAACCATTGAGACGTACAGCGCACAGTTGGCTGCCGCCTGGAATCCAATTAAGAAGCAAACATTCAGCCTTGACACTTGGCGCAATCCCAACGCCGGCAACACTTCGAGCTTTGGACGCCGAAATGCCTGACACGAAGGGTGAAGTGTGAGGTTGAGGTAGGATCAGGAGAACGCAGGGAGATAATTGAGGTAGGCTCTTGTATGCGTGTTTCGGAAACACAACGTACATCTAAAGTTTCAACGGTTCTAGCCAAGACAGCTTGCTGACCAATCTGATAGAGTGTGCGGGCATTGAACGAGGTTAGGTAAAAAGGGAATTTTGGCTTCATAAATCCTATGACTTCTGATTGTTTGGCCTTACCGGTAAAACGCTGAGTGATATCCGATGGGTCTTGCAAACAAACGGCGTTTGGGATTATTCGGGTTTGAGGGAAAGAACTAGGCATATGGGGAAAAGATTTTCCCAAATAGGTGCTACGACGTACTTCGCACACCGACGAAGGGGTTCATCTTTCATTATCATCATCATCATCATTGTACAGCATAATACAGTGAAGCGAACTTCACTGATCGCTGCCAAACTCATATAGCATACAAGACAAGTGATAATGTGTTAGGAGGATAGGGATTAGATTTAATCTTGGGGACGGGAAAAGAAAGCGAACCTCTATGGTCAACACAGGGAGCACGATTCAACTGTGCATACATACCATTCCAAACATTCTGGTCTGATAAGAAGTGACAGCAAGACGGTTTTTGCTGTCGATCTGCAGCCATGACCTTCAATGTCTCCAACCATGTGGTTACGGAGTCTCGTGGACCCCAACTCGGAAGACGAGAGACGTCTACTTTACCTAATCGCTCTATGGATCTCTTTATGCCTCGTCTTCACGTAATCTGCTGGCCATCACATGGCTTTCTCCCGCATGTAACATCCACTGCAAACAAGGCGCGCTGCGGTAGGCGACCGTCGGTCATACGCAAAACGTGTCCTAGCCTATTGAGCTGTATTGGATACGATAGCGAGTTCTTGTTTGATCTATTCCCAAACACCCGACGACTTACTTCTAAGTTAGTAATCCGCTCACTCCATCCAACCTGGGCCAGATTACGTAAGCATTGATTGTCGAACACTGCTACATTCCTACCCGTAAATTCAAGGTCTCACATTCGTAAAGTAAAACTGGTCCTACAGCGGTGCAGTATATGCGGCTTCTCAACTTTAATGACATGTCACTTCACCTTCAAAGGTGTTTAAGCCCTACGTACGCTGCTCGAGCCTTGGAAATGCGGACGGTTATCCTTTCATGCGCTACCTTCGTTGGTCACGCAGCTACCTAAGTACGAGAAGCAGTAAAGTTCGGCTAATTCCTGACCGTCTAGTTTCAGAACAGAACTCGGCGACACTCGGTCTTGAAGCATCACTTTGCACTTTGAAGGTGCAAAGCACATGCCGAACGGAGCGAAAGATTTTGCTAATCTGTCAAGTGCTCTTTGTGCATCATCCATACATTCAAACAAGCAAACGATGTAAGCGTACTCCAAATCGCACAGCTTTTCTTCATCTGTCCATTCAATGCCTACGTTTTGGAGACCACTTAGTGTGTTCTCCAGTATTTTGTCTATGACGAAATTGAACAGGAATGGCGAAAGAAAGCACCCTTGACGAACACCGCTCCTATTTACGAACGACCTACTCGGCTTACCGTAGACCCTTGCGCTGCCAGAAGTATGCGAGTAGAGTGAACTCAGTATGTTTACATACTTCTGCGGCATTCCTTTGCAAAGAAGCGAACCCATAAGGGATTCACGATCAACTGAATCGAAGACTTCTTTTAGGTCAAGGAACACGACAACCGTTGGTCGACGATGCGTATGGCGTAACTCGAGAACTTGACGCAGAGTGAGGATTTGATCGATACAACTGCGACCTGGTCAAAATCCTGATTGTTGTTCGCGGGCGTTTGTCTCCCTAAACGGCGTCCGATGTCGAAGCGTAATGGAGGCAAGTAACTTGGTGATGATTGTTCGCTGGTGCGTTGATTGTCGGTCCGCTTTTCGAGATCGGCCCTTAGCCTCATGTACCCAATGAGGCAAGCGGAACGTGGACGGGACAGCACCTTATTGGCTGGGGGCTGCCCAGCCTGGGCGGGCGGTAGCTGTCTAATGAAGTGAGGAGACTTCTCCCACCGTTAAGAGGAAGCCCCAGGTAACCGGCTCCTACGTCCATCTAGTGGGTTTTTTGACCGGTAAACTACCCCTCACTTTGTTTATTTGTTGGAGTAATCTGTCCAGGAGCGGGCGTGGATAGTCAAAGGAAGCCAGGTGCCCAAGCAACTGGCTTTGTGAAACTGAGCTTCGTCTGTCCTC